ATGGCCCAAAAGGCATTTTCGGTTTTCGACCGAAAGACTTTTATCACCGAAACAATACGGCCGAAATGTTGTGATGACACAAACAGAAACCGCGACCTGCAAGTGCTGGTCTGAAGCAACATGTCTGCGGTGTGGACGTATTTCAGTATATCTGAACCAGCGAGGAGACGGAAGCCTTGTTTATACTTTCGCCTGCTACCGCAACACGAGTCTCCACAGAGCACCGCTCCAAACGGTCGAGGCATTTATACTTGACGCGCTCGCCGTTGTACTATTCCTTAAAACGACAGGGGACGACTCAAGTAACTGTCCTCTAACCATCAGGAATCGGTGAGAAGAAGAAAGATAAACACATGACAATGTTTATTTTTTAGTATTCCACCACCAATACAAAAATAATCATGTAAAATCCAGTAAACCCTGAGATTATTACTTGTGACATTACTAAAAAATATGTATACGGGAACACGTATGTATACAACTAAATGAACGCTCTCTTAAATATTTTTTAATTTCACTAAACATATTTCATTAAGTTTCGTGTACATTTGTATTAAGCATGGACCTTCATAAAAAAGGATTTTTATGCTATTGTATGCTATTTTTTAAAATGTAAGCAACTAATTTAGACGTGCAAACTGGGTGCTGGTGTGATGAGAAGTTCGTGCTCGGCTTTGTTTTTATGAGAGAACATTTAATTTTAAAACCTTTCTGCAGGCCAGTAGATTATTATTTAATGTACACATGAGTGGGGTCAAGTTAAACATTTTATTTTATACTGTGCGTTGTGCTAAATAAATATTTGCATAATTTGTAATTGATTTATTCTTTGTGACAATTCTTTGTATATATGACAATTCCCCATTCACTTTGACACATTATATGACATGCTCCACTAAATTCACGACATTCTTCTGAGTTATTAACCCTTTAACGTGTATAATCACACCGGTGTGATTAGAACATTCAGTGGATAACATGCATCACACTGGTGCTGGTGTGTCACATGTCAAGCATGATGTGTCAGCTAGAATATTTTAAACTTATGTGTGAAAGTGCAAAAGAGCAACCAATGATCACTCAAATTGCTTAAAAAATGTTCAAGGAAGCACATGAAAAGTTGGTTGATGAGTTATTTATCTCCATTTAAAGTTAGTTCTGGCCAATTAAAATCTTCCTACTGTTTCACAACATCACCCCAGCCAGCATCAGTGTGATGCTGTGACCTCTCTCCTTCAGGATGGCTGACATTTGGGCCAGAACAACAGTGGCCATTGTTTCTCAAGGTTCAGGCCCATTCCACATCCATGGTGTTCGATTACCTCCTTTCCAGGTGGTCCCCATAAAAAAGGCAATGTTAAAAGTGTGGGGCAGTGAAAAGGGGGAAGAAAACATATTGCATTTATTAAAAAGTCTATGAATAAGGTCTTCATTGTGAGTAATCACAGCAGCTGTGGTGAGCATCTGAGACGTGCAAGACACAACAGAGGACTGTATGTAGACGCTGCCCCTACCTGCTGTTTCAAGACCAGCTTGCCCTATTCAAGCCCTTCCGTTTGAAAAAGATAAAGCTGAGTTAACCTCGCATAACTGAATCAAAGCCAAATCCGCCCTCATCAAACAAACAACCGCCCGACAACCTCCTCTGCCATAAAGGGCTCATGGGACTCCATTATGGTCAAACTCTTAAAGGGTTAGTTCAGCGATGATGAAAATCTGTCATCATTTACTCAACCTTATGTGGTTTAAGACCTGTAAGACTTTCTTTCCTCTGTGGAACATAAAATATGATATTTTGAAAAAAAAGCTTACTCATTTTATTAAATATTTTCAACCGTTTTTGTCCATTCAATGAAAGTCAATGTGGTCCAACTAAGTAATAATTGTAACATATTAATTTGCATATAGAATAAATAAAGTCAGAGATATGAAGTCGCAATTTTGAGCATTATTATGAGCAATAAAGTCACAATTGTGACATATTAAGTTCAATAAATAAAGACGCAATTGTCAGATATAGTCACAATTATGAGAAATAAAATCACAACTGTAAGGTATTAACACACAATTGCAGGAAATGAAATTGGATTTCTGAGATAAGAAGTCACATTTGTGAGATATTATGTCGCTAATATGAGGAAAAAGTCCCAATGTAATTTATGAAATCACAATTATATATAAAAAAAAAAAAAATAGTCACAAATTATTAGATATCCAGCCGCAATTACAATGACAGACAGCCAGTGTGGCCGAAAATAACACAAGACACCTTTGATTTTCATTGGATGGACAATAAAGCACTTTATTTATATCTTGTTTTGTGTTTCATATAAGAAAGTGATAGAAGTTTGGAATGACATTGGGACATTAGAATAATATCACACAATGAAAATGAGACATTTTTACCTGATTTTTCAAAGAAAAAATTACAACTGGTTTTCTCACCACTAAACCACTAGTTTTCAAAATATTAAAATGAATAACTTGCTTGTTTGAGCAGAATTTTTCACAATGAGATGATGATGTTAGCTAACATTGACATATGGACATACTTATTTATGACATTACTTGAACAGTCACATCTGATTCCTTTAAATTGTAATGTAGAAACATGCATTTTCTGTAAAGCTGCTTTGAAACAATATTGTGACAAGCGCTATACAAATAAATTTGAATTGAATGTGAATCTCTTTCCCAATGTCTATTCAATGACCTTTTGCCCTTCAGACATCAATACCCCTCCCCACTTTCTCTCATATTTCCTCTCTTCCCCACTACAAGGCTAGCTCAAGACCAGCTGTAGCTAGTTCAGCGTTCAGTCTATGCATTGACACCAGACCTCCAAACGCACCTCTGCTCTGGAGTTCATTAAAGGAAGAGTTTCATTAGAGTCGCAGCCACAACATGTCACCAGGGACACTTTCACCCCACACCCTCATGACCAGGTACTCTCACCAAGACGAGACTGACACTTTGATAATCCTTCGGGAAAAAAAAAAGGAGGCGCATAAAGAGAGCAAAGAAAACAGACAGCGTACTGACCCTTTTCTTGATGGAAGCTGACAGGATGACTTTCTTTGATGATGACACTAATGATTAGCAACAGGCCAACATATGGCTCAAAGGGATCTTTGTGCACCTCAATGCAGGCAGCGCAATGACGGCAGCAAGCCCAAAACTAGCCGTGCTGCCGTCTGTACGAGGCTTAGAGGCACACAGACGGGTTTGTGGACTTTAATCAATATTAATGTGATTTGGAGCGCGGCCAGCCACGTCAAACGGTCAGGGGTTCATACTTTGATTTGGACGGAGACTATCCAGACTATCCACTATGATTCGCATCAGTATTGTAAATAAAAACCACGTGACTGTTTACTTATAATATGAGAAGATGCTAGTGAGGGCAAAAACAACTCACTAAATTTCTAGAGCTTTAAATTGAAAGTATTACAGGGATCTAAAAAACCATATGCTATCATAAATCTATAAAAAAAAATCTATGATCCAATGCTAAATGGATACAGTAGGTGTTGAAGCCTGCAGCATGGAAAAATGGTATGATTAAAAGAGAAACACAAGGGCAGTGTATTAATGTACTGTCTGAAATCTGAGTGGGCTGAAACAGAAACATGTGGCGAGCCTGGTTGTACAGTTTAGCACAAACAGGTGCTGGCTGATTTTAATGAAGTTGGACATACAAACCCTACAGTTCCTACAAACTTAAACAAGACACGTGTAAGCAACATGGACAATATCTTCATTTGTCTTTGCTAACCTAGAACTGACCTGTTGAAGTCCCCGGACCTCTCTCTCTCTTATTGTAAAACTATAAATCAGAAATCTACAGAACACTCTTTAATTACCATACCTCAGAGTAGTTCTTGATACACATCTGCAATGAACTATTACTGTAGAATGGCAGTGTAGTGTCCATTGTACTTTATCAATCTCAATTCCAATAAAAACTTATTTGAGACAACAGTGGCTAAATAAATTGCAATGAAAATTTGATGAATTTATATATATATAGTTTGGAATAGTTAAAGGTTCTCTAGGCGATGTGGGGCCAAAACATTTTTTGTCACATACATCAAACGTCTCCTCACTATCGGCTAGCTGCCTGTCCCCTAAACACACTGTAAAAAAAAAAAGCGGTCTCTGTAGACACCACAGGCTCCACAAACGGCAACAAAAACAATCATGTCTCACCCGGACCACGAAACCTAACAAACAGTGTTCCAGCCAATCACTGGCAAGAAGTATTTGAGGGTGGGTCTGGGGGGTTAGTGCGCGTGCACATGAAGGGGGTGTGTGTGTGAAGGAGATAGAAGCATCAGAGGGAAGTTTGAAAAATGGCCGACACACGACCAAATAGACGTCGTTCTGAAGAACAAATTAAAAAGAAGAAGGAGTCGGATAAAGAACGTGCGAAGTTCGAATTTATATCAGTAGCAAAGCTTTTGAACGATGGCGAGAACTCCGGCGGCAGAAGGGCTTCCAGTCCGACATTCAGGTTGCTCTGTTTTTGCTGGACAGGTGGGTAACGTTAAATTGTTTTTTTTTTCTTCTAAACTGACGCTTTATGTTCGCCAAACCCACACAAGGATATAATTAGCTAGAACTATGCACGTTCACAATTATTTCAGGAAGGACGGGAGGGGGAGGAGATGAGATGCGGCGGAGGGAGGGTCTAGCTAGCCTCCGATTTGTTTGAAAATATTCCGAACGTCAACAACACCCAGGATCGCTCAGAGAACCTTTAAATCACGGCAAGTGAAGTGAACATATAAAACCTTACAGACAAGCATTCCTTTCAGTGCAGGTCTATATCATCCACTTGCTCACACTTAAAATGGAAATGCTTTACCCAGACAGCTCTTGAAGGAGAAATTAAATCATTTGTCAATCCAAAGTTTTCCCCCCTTTTGTTCTTGTATTAATGACTGATAATGGAGGATTTTAGATGGGGTACAGCTCAGAGGAAAGGAAAATGGACTTACGGTGAAGGCCTTCCAGGCAGAGGAGTGGGAGCAGGATCTGGATGAAAGAGAGAGTGGGGATTTTTAAAAACATTCTGGGAACAAATCGCCCACAAAGAAGCATAGCACATGTGGCCAATATGGCTCTTTGGCATCATGGACTAGAGAACAACTACAGTGATCTCATCAGACCAACACAGTTTCTCAAGATCTTTACTGTTAAGGTCGGAGGACGGTAAATTGCTAGACTTATGATGATGCATTAAAACATATTTATAAGCACAGTGCTTTTAGGACATGTACAGGGGTCTTCATTCCAAATAGAAGGACCACTACTTTGCAACAGGTCCAAACTTATACATGTACAGTATGTGTGGACTACCTGAAGATCTCAATTGTTTCTTCTAGACAGCACTGACTCTTCACTTTTGCTGAATTATATGGCTTATTCGATCTTTATCTTGAGAAAGACTATGTTTTATACTTTGTTCAGACGATGAAAGTTAAAAGGTAAAACAACGAAAACACAAAGCGTGTTAGACTTTACAAACTGTCTGAGTAGGTACTACATTTAATGGGGAATGAATTTCGCAACCGTTTAAAATGTATATTCTATATACGTAGTTTGAATGGTCATCCGATTACTTTACGCATACTGCTTTTCTACTGGCTACTGTTTACTACAGTTTTTCGCCTACTAAATAGGCATTCTCGGATCCAGGGACTGAGAAAATATCAATAAAATGCATTCTTTTCAACACAATCTCATGGCAATTCGTAACCGTTTTGGCGAATTGTCAGCTAATTTATATAAATCTGTGTTATATGTCTATTTTCATTTGACCTGCTTACGCCCCAGAGACGGTTATGTTCAAGGTTTGTGTTAGAGGTGGACCTTTTATTTAAAAAAAAAATAAAAATCATGTTTTCGTATGATTCGTATGAATTTACAACCTCATAAAGTAGTTGCGTTTTCCTGTGAGATCATGGTGTTCTTTTATGTTACACAGATGAAGTCACACAGGTGTGGAATGATATGAGATTGAGAAATTGGCAACAATTTGCATTTTATGTGAAATGCCAGGAAAAGGCTTAACACAAATTTGGCGTTTGCGGCATTTGTTTTTATTTAAATTGTTGAAACTAAAGTTGAAGTTGAAACAAAATGAAAATAAAAAAAACATAACTGAGAAACCCCTAATAACTCCAGCGCTATCAAATATGTCCCTCTGACATGGGATGTGTTTAAATACACAAATCTGATGTTTTTCTAAAGTACGTCATCATATGAAACCATCACAATATCGTTAAATTCCAAAAACACTCACCAAACTTGACAAACAGGATTCCTGTGGTAGATACTGTGCCAAAGCTGTTGGTAGCCACACACTGAAAGTAGCCGGTGTCCGTGGTGTCCAGGTTTCGGATTCTTAAGCGGGAGCCGTACGGAGTGGGCCTGTAAGAGACACGCCGCGGTTCCTGAACCACAGGAGCATCGTTTTTGAGCCAGCGGACTGTGGGTGGTGGATTCCCTAAAACGTGGCAATGTAACTCAGCTGTCTGTCCGAGGGAAGTAGTGATGTTATTCATTGGAGCATCCAGCCTTAGGAAGTGATCTAAAAGGACAAGACAGAAAAGATATTGAAAACATATAATGTAGCTAACTTGCTCAAATTACCCAAAGGGAATAATGTTGGAAAAAAGTAATTGAGCAGCAATTTGTAACTATACTATACACGCACATACAATGTGCAACAAACCTCTAAGTTGCCGGTTAGGAATTTTTTATGATATTTAGTGGTTGCCACTAGGTGGTAAATCATTAGTTTGTCTCACTGGGATGGATAGCGCCAGAGGGGACAGGAGAACCTCTTGAAGCTTCTGGAAACTTCTGTCTCCAGAAAATCTATCTTGCCAGGCCTACAGCTAACTTTGATAAGGGGCCAGCAAAAACATAACAACCCCTAATATTTCACGGGTGGTGGGAGGGAAATAAAAGCACTTGTTGTGAGCTCAGCAAATTTGACCCATTCTGGTCTGAGTAAGGCCATAGAGGGGAACTTATGTAGTAAAACTTCAAATCTATGGGAAAGTTACACAGACGGTATGTTGAAACACTTTGTGGTAAAGGATAAAACCAGAATTGGGGTTATAGTAGATATACAGTAAAATAGTATGTGTATTTGCTTGTGAGGTTTAACATATTTGGATAGATGCTGAAATGTAGAGTATAATTATTTTTTTATGCATGAACAACTTACAAATTGCATATAAAATATATGATATTTCAATTAGGTTATTACAATTACTCCGTAAACATTTCAAATACTTAATTTAGTATTATAATGTTTAATAATAATAACAGTTGAAAAATTTGTGTTTTGACTGAAAAATTCAGTTTTTCAGTGCCTAAATTTAAATAAAACACTGTACATTTGGCATACAAATGACAATGAATACTAATGAGATCATATTGGCAAAAAACAGACGAATTTGTTCCATACAAATAATAATTTAACCTCTGTAGAGTTCCCTGGGACTTCCTGTAGAGTCATATGTATGATTGGTTTGGCAGACAAGCTCTGACAGGCTCTTGATGGCATCCTGACAATCCCTACCCATGCAGCCAAGAAGCAAAGAGTGAAAGTAAACTTTTCCTCTCACTCAGCGCGGATTTACTGTGAGCATATGATACTGTGAGCATATGATACATACAATCCAACAATCTGTCAATACAATACTTAAAAAGAGTCTAATACACTAGGGCATTGTGCAGTGAACCTCATTACTGCTAACTAACTATCTAAAGTTAGTTTATAAAGTATAAAAATGATGTCCTAATTTACTCACCCTCAAGTTGTTGCAAACCTTTATGATTTTTTACTTCCGCTGGCCGCTAACACAAAAGAAGATATTTTGAAGAACATGGGTATCTAACTATAACTATAACTATCCCTTCCAGTCTGAATTTATAGTGGTTAGTAACACAAGTTCCCCTTTCTCTCGCTTTAAATTCAGTAACATCTTCTCACAGGAAGCCAGACTATGGTGCAATGTGAGGAATGTGACTTTGATGAGAAAATTAATAAAAGTATATTGAGTAGGAGCCATGAGTGTGGTCCCCCAGGGTTACAGGCAGTGTAAGCAGCCGCAGGGCCCACAGCTGTGCAGGTACATCCACAATATTAGTCCTGCTGAGGCGGGGGTTGAATTCCACTGACTAACATTCACCTTTCAGAAACTCCAACACTGTTTGAACTACACCTGACAGCAGTCTTCAGCAAACGGCATCTAGGATTACCAGGAATCTGGTGGCAGATGCGCAGGATTATGTTATATGTTTTGTTATATATATATATATATATATGAGGAATTGGCCTGGGAAAAGATGGCTTTTTCAGGAACTGGACTTAGTTGAATGAGATCTTGATATTGTTTGTTGAAATTTTTGACCCTATACTTGACCAAATCTATATAACTATTTCATGATATTCTGTCATGATAATCTATACATCGCTTGTATAGGAACTATTGTGAGATGCACACGGAGTCTCTTTCTATTGAATGTGAAAAGATGGATGCTAAAGTTTGAGTTGACTCCGTACTCTTATACTGAATGTTCCTGGGGTTTATGGGCATTTTAGGGTTGGTGATGTCACTAACCCGGGAGGAAGCTTGTGTAGTTCCTACCAGCCGTTAGTTGTAGTCCTTAAAAAACGATTTCTTTAAAAGCAGATATCTTCCCTTGCTTTGAACTTTGAGCGTTGTAACTTTAATAATGTCGTTTTTGCTCAAACAGCAACATTACCCACTAAGTGAAATCATACTTTACCACCCCTTTTTTAGCATATTTTATTATATTGACCACCCTGTGTTTTTTTTTTTACATTTATATCAATAATAATATAAGAGTAAATGTTTTGCAATAATTTACCAGAGGTCTGGGTGACAAGTAAAGTGACTAATATACACAATATTCAACCATTACTCCACTCCCCTTTCTCTTCTTTTTTATCCTTCCACTTGTCCATTCACACCTCCTCCCATCTCATTTCCTTACTCTCTTTTTACCGCCCTCTTGCTCTCGTTCCAAGCATGTCTGGTCTGAGGATGGCTGAATGGAAAGCTACCTTCCTTCCCCTGGTGGATCTCTTCTTTATCCCTTCATCTTAATTTCCTCCATCCAAACATCAGCTCTCTTATAACAATATACAAATATGGTTTTCCAAAAATGGATTCGTATGAAGAATACAACCACAGGGGGATCAGTTCCGACTCATAATGCATCTGACTGACAAGCCTAATCTTTTGGACACTTTCCTTCTAATGATGTAAGCATGTGGTGACGGGTTGTGAACTTCAGCCAGAAGGAACCAACCGCACACCGACTTACATACAAATGTAATTCAGTTGTTTATTTATCAAACTTCAGTAGATGATTTGAAGGAGTAATTTGACTATTTAAAGTTAGCAGAATCAAGACAATGGCATCTTTTGTTGGCAGCGTGGGTGTGTGTGTGTGTGGACAGTAGGCTCCTTTCTTTTTCTGTGCTGATAGTTATTGGATGGGAGTGTGTGGGAAATGGATGTGCGACATATGAAAGTCTTTTTTTTAATTATTTTTATAAATGGAACAGTTTATTGAACCTTTAGACAAAATATGAAAAGAATTGTAAAAAAAAAGATCATGCATTGAAATATTAACCAATAAAAAAGTTAGGTAACACTTAATTATAATGGTCACTTTTAGACATTCTGTTGCACCTTCATGTCAACTAACTCACATTAGAGTATCGGTAGAGTATTAGTAGGCTGTCTGCTGAAGTAACTTTGCAAGTACGTGTCTCTTTACTCAACTAACCCTAACCCTAATAGTCAACTTATACTCAACTAACACTAAATGAGAGTTAGTTTACATGTGCAATGTTACTTAAAGTCAACAGAACGTCTAAAGGGAACCATCAATATAAACTGTAACCACATCTTCTCACATTTACTTAAAAATTGTTAAAGATTTCACAGGAAAAAGACATGCTAAACACTGCTAAAAAAGTCAAAACTATCAATCAGATGACAGAAAACAAGCAGAAGATTGTGTATAACAGTTTTGATCATGTTGATAATTTAGAAATCCATGTATCAAATATATGATATAACAGGCTTTATAGGGCTAAGAGGGAAATAATCAAAAATCATTTAAATACTAATTGCGTGAAAAAGACAGCTCCTGGGACAGTTCCCATGTCTAATGAAGGATACAATACAACTAAACAGGACAATAGTCATGTCAACAGAATGTTTGAGATAAAATACATGACACATGATATTTGAAGATAACTGAGAAAGATCAATGTAAAAAGAACTGGAATCAAATATTTTAATGTTCACCGTTTTCAATTAAGCAGTGTCAACTGTGCAACAAAAAATAAATAAAAATATAAATAATACTTCACTGGGTGTATTTAGGCTAATTCAATTTTTTTAAATAGATAATTGGAGATGTGGTGAAAATGATAATGGCTTATGCATTGACAAATTAAATAAACTAGTACGAGTGTGAAAAAAAGAGTTGGCTCTCTGGAAATACCCATATACAAAAAAGATATATCATATATCTAGCAGACATGAATTACTGTAAGATCTTTTGTTTCTTTAAAACCTTTCTGTTTTTCTGACCTAAAGCATAAGTCACCTGCAGGTCAAAAGAAAGTTCTTGTGTTGACATCTGATGCCAGGCAACAATTCCAACTGAGATTTAAATATTAATCCCAAAGCAATTACGACAATTTGGAGAAATCACATAGCGGACAAAATGACTCCAGTTCTCTTATTAGTTTAATTACTACTGAGTTTGGTTCAAGACAGGAAAAACACTTAAACGATATGACAAATAAAAGAACAATATAAAAGGGCCTTGAAATGGAAGGAATGGAGTAATCAAATTCATATGTTTGTAAGTATTTGTATTTGAGAGAGAGAGAGAGAGAGAGAGAGAGAGAGAGAGAGAGAAAGCGAGTTGTATGAGGGCAATGATATTTAGCGATCTTATGGAAATGGAAAATAAGTTCTTGCATGAATTCTCCAGAATTTTGTTCCAACTTGCATCTATAACGATAGCACAGACACAACGTGAGCACGGAAACCCCCAAATTAGTGTGCACTGTACCAGACTGAGGAATTAGGATAACTTAAGACACATAACCAGCTTCTTTCAAAATGCTGTCATCCTAGAGCTCACATGTTCCTTCTAGTAATGCTGTCTGCTTTGGCAATCAAAACTAACATTCATCTCTAGACAAAACATCCAGCAATCGCTGCCGATCTGTCACATTACTGTAGACCTAATGGTGTCCCTGAGTGGCCTATCAGAGCTGGGCTAAAACTCACCTCTTTCAGCTCCGCTGGACATGTTCCAACTGGAGGCGGCCACCACGTTTGGGTCTGAGGGCATCTCTGCCCCTGTAGATAGAAAGCAAAGAGAGAAAGTCAAGGAGAGGCACATTTCAGACTGTGGTATCATGGTACAGTAAAGGTAACAGATACATGGTACTTCATACAAGGTACTGTATTCATGTACCATGGTATTTAAACTGATCCTTCATGGTCAATGGAAAAGGTCCAGTGTCTGGCTCATATACATCTACTGTAAAGTACATGTAAGTATACTGATAAAAAATAATTACATATATAAATAAATAAATAACCTTCATCTTTATAACTCGCTTAGACTGATTCAGTCATATTGAAAAACATTGATTGCATTATTACCAGTTATTGCATGGCTCATGATCAATTGTGGCATTGTGTGGTCAGATATTGTTGTATCATGGCTGTTAAACTGTATATGAAGAGTTCAGATGCAAAAGCCTCTAAATGCCATTTGAAATTTTCTTCTTTAATGTTGATTTTTTATCAAACTTGTATATTTAAGTTCAGTGATTTCACTTAAATGGCAATGATAATTACCTATTAACTGTTATTTAAGTGAAATTACTGAACTTAAATATACAAGTTTGATAAAAATCATCATTAAAGAAGAAAATTTCAAATGGCATTTAGAGGCTTTTGCATCTGAACTCCTCATATATGACAGTGTCTGCAAATCTTCCTACACAGACAGCTCTTTTTCTTCTCACTTAAAGGGATAGTTCACTTTGAAATGAATTTTTGATATGTTTTAGCTTACCTCAAGGGCATCCAAGATGTAGGTGTCTTTGTTTCCGCAGTAGTTTAAATTTTGATATTTTTAGGTCAAACCGTTCGTTCGTGTCTGTCAGTCATATAATGGAGGTCTATGGTCACCACCTCAAAGAGCAGGCACAGAAAAGTCCAAATTAAACATGATTTAATGACTCGTAAATGTAAGTACACATTTACAGCCTAAGGCACGAAACGAGCGGTTTGTGTGAGAAAACGAACAGTTTTATATCGTTTTTACCTCTTGTAACCACAGCCACGTCCAAGTGATCTGGTAACAAGAGGTAAAAACGATATAAATACTGTTTGTTTTCTCACACAAACCGCTCGTTTCATGTCTTAGGTACTTACATTTACGAGTCATTAAATCATGTTTAATTTGAACTTCTCTGTGCATGCTTTTTGAGACCATAGACCTGCATTATATGACCGATAGACACGAACGGTTTGACCTAAAAATATCAAAATTGAAACTACTGCGGAAACAAAGACACCTACATCTTGGATGCCCTTGAGGTAAGCTAAAACATACCAAAAATGTACTTCAAAATGAACTATCCCTTTAATACATTTTTTCTTGCCCATCAAGTTATTTATTTATTTATTTATTTATTTAGCAAGTAGCTATGTAATAAGTGGGATAATGTACAGTGAGCCAATCATTATTGCAAAATAATCCCTTCAGGATGATACAAGTCAAGACTCCTCTGCGTACATTTTTCCTGTTCATTCTGTCAAAGTAAACATTGCATTATTTCATTTAGATTTTAAGACATGAAGTACAGTTTTTAGGTTAATTGTAAACAATTCAAGACATTGCTAGCCATTATTATAAATCCAGTTCAGTATCAGTTCAGTGTTCACTTTTGTCACAAGAATGTGAAATTAAAGAGACGGCCATGTTGCTATTAGCGCTCTGTGTGTGTTCAGGAGCGTGCAGGTAAACCTGCCTCTAATATATGAAGATTACAGACTTGTTACTGTACAAAGAACTTGTATTATAGTGTAGCAGCACAATATGGGCAAGTGTTGACAGGTTCAGAGTTAGTGATGCTCGTCTTACAATGGCCTCCTTTGAGTCAGATATTTTACAACAGAACACAATAAACAATGGACTGGGGCAGTACAGGAGTGCGAACAGAGGTGCAAGGTGCTCCAGGAATGTACACCATTAGTTCATTTTTCTCCCTTCTGTGCGTGTGCTTATTCAGAGACAGTATAAAAGATACAGACTAGGCTAAATAATTGATTAAGAAAAAATGATCCCAATTCATGGTGGCTGCAGGAAAATACCTTTCGATTAAAAATGGGAATCGGCTTATTTGTAAAAGCATCACCTGATCTAGTCCTTTCTGTTGTTTTTCAGCTTGTCTCTATTTAAAATGATACGGGTTGTACTTTTGCTAAAAATATTTAGAACTTAATATGGAAATTATATACTTCAAAAGAATATACTTAAGTGTGAACTGAATGAAATGTTTATGCATGTTAATTGTAATTAAATGAAAATGTATTAGTTTAAATTTCCACAAAAATATGAAGCAGTACAACTGTCAACATTTATAATAATAAGAAATGGCATAACAATCAAAAAGATCAGTAGTTTGAATCCCTGCAAATGTTGTTAGACATATTTTTATTCGAAACAGTTTGTAAATACTGCTGTATTGTCTAAAAATAAGCTTGACCAACCTGAATATTTTTCTTTAGCCTAAGAAATTATTTAGTTAGTCGTGTTTTTAGATAAAAGCTGTACTTACATGACCAGAAAATCATTTGGCTACTGAGTAAACTGACTGACTTGCTTTAAAACGCATTTTGGTCTGACTGACAGACAGCATAAGCTTGAGTAAACTAAACAGCGCTCATTCACTCTTACAACCTTGAAGACAAAGACTTATGTCAACAATGTCTACCAAAGCAAACACATGATTACACTGTGTGTGCGTTTGCGTCTGTGCATGAGTGCATCCCTAAAGTAGAACAGTGGTAATGGATCACACACTTCTTGCTGACTGGGCTCACATCAGAGGTGAGCAGTCTCTGCTGGAGAGAGAAGCCTTTTTTGTGAACATCTCATTCCACCTAGTTCCATTAATGCCATAAACAGAAAGCTGTGATCATTCCAAAATATTACACAATTAAAAATATATACTATACTACTCTGTTTTGAGTGAACATCCAAGAGGCAGCACTTTATGGCATCATGGGACTATTGACGATGCCCGTTCCAAAAAATAGGTCTGTCTCGGAAAAGGAAATCATGGAATATATCAGCCCATTCTCACCCCCAAGGCGTCACTTAACTGAAGCCTTGGGAAGCATTTGGACATGCTTCAAAATCTGACGCTTTAGGCGCCCTTTAGCGTCAGTTAGCCCTAGGATCGCGTGTACCCTACCCCCACCCCACACCTAAACCTAACCGCGTCCTCTAACTGACGCTTTCCTTTAACGTCAGTTAGATGACGCCGTAGGATCGCGTCATGTAACTGACGCTAAAGGGCGCCTAAAACGTCAAATATTGAAGCATGGTCAAAGGTGACGCCTTGGGGTGAGAATGCGTTGAATATATAGACAATTTTGCAAGATGTAAACAACACTGGTCCAGAAACACTTCCTGTTTCAGTTTATAACCGTTTTCTTTATTTCACATGTAAAGAAAACATCTTAAAGATGTTTGTTTAACCTTTTGATTCAGTTTTTAATGTTCTGTTGGTTGTATGTTATCCCAGCTTTTATGTAGTGTTAAAAAACTGAAACAGGAAGTGCTTCTGGACCATTGTTGTTTACATCTTACAAAATGGTCTATAGTGACAAACTCAGTAAAAAAAAAAAAAATATATATATTATATGAAAACAAGTTAAATTAAATTACATTAAATTAAAAATTATCAATAAACATATAAAATATAAAAACATAATTATGTATGTAATTATTCATCCTAATTAATTATGTATCTGTATGTTCAGCATAATTACACACTTGATTACTTAATAATTATTTAAAGTTATACATTTAACATGTTACCATGCTTTGGCAATGTAAAGACACCACGCAAAAAAAAAAAAAAAACACCAAAAACAACAACATTTGTATCTGAATATTAACAACATGCTGCAACGCATTCTCACCCCAAGGCGTCACCTTTGACCATGCTTCAATATTTGACGTTTTAGGCGCCCTTTAGCATCACTTACATGACGCGATCCTACGGCGTCATCTAACTGACGCTAAAGGAAAGCGTCAGTTAGAGGACGTGGTTAGGTTTAGGTGTGGGGTGGGGGTAGGGTACACGCGATCCTAGGGCGTCATCTAACTGACGCTAAAGGGCGCCTAAAGCGTCAGATATTGAAGCATGTCCAAATGCTTCCCAAGGCATCAGTTAAGTGACACCTTGGGGGTGAGAATGGGCTGCATGCTAATATCAATCTATAAAAACAAATAAATTGCTGCCTGTGTATTGTTCCAAATCGGTCACATATGAGGTTAGATGCTCCACGATGGATAGGATGCTTTCTTAGAAGGCAGTAGGCTACTGTGTAGTGTAGGCAGTGAGGAAGCTCCTTAGTTTTTTTAACCAGACCTCTTGTGGTGGTGTAAAATAAATATACAAGTCTCACAGCTCGAGAGTGAAAGGGTGGAGAAAGAGATAGACAAGCGTCAAAGTGTGAACACAGAGGTGTTATTACGTTCACTGGGTGTTAATTTAATGTTAAATATGTCTGGTGTTAGAAAACATGCCACTTTAATGAGCTGCTGATATACACACACACCTGTTAGTGCCAATGAACTGTCTTGTGTGACACACACACACACACACACACACACATGCACACGCTCGTTGCTGGAGTAGAAACCAACAGCTGCAGGGACAGGTGGTTTAATGCCCCTCCATGATGACATTGACTACAACGGCAAATTACACTCATTAGTGAAGTATCTATGACAGGTCACTTCATCTGCTCATTACATTCTGACCATTACTCATTATGGCATGACTTGTTACTTTCATCTATGAGTGATTCAAGTGTGGCGCCAAATTAGGATCATCTAAATATAGCTTACAAGTGTCATATTTCAGTACCATTTTTGCTTACAAGTGTCATATTTCAGTAAAAAAATTATATGGTATAATCATACCTTTTAACATGACAAACACACTACACTACACTACTCACACACCTAAAACCACTTGTAATGTCTATTCAACTAATATGTATTATCTGCCACAATAACCTATTTTAATTATTTTAACATGGGG